CGCAATGGCACAGTCCGTTTGTCGATCGGACATCATCCGAGTGTCTTCGTGGCCTCGTTTCCTTCGTAACGCATGCCTTCAAATCATATTTGAATTGCTTAGAAATTCGCCACCATCTTAGACGATCCAAATTTACTAAATAAATTATATATTCTGAATGTCGACGACGTTCCGGATGCAATGGCGCTGTCCGTTTGTCAATCGGACATCGTCCGAGCATCTTCGAGGCCTCGTTTCCCTCATAACACATGTCTTCATATCATATTTGAATTGCCTCGAAATTCGCCACCATCTCAGACAATCTAAATTTATTAAATAAAATGTATATTTCGAATGTCGACGACGTTCCGGACGCAATAACGCTGTTTGTTCATGATCGGACGTCATGCCGTCAACATAGAGGCAATTTTTCTCGATATGCACATCTTTGCATTACATTGGGTTTCGTGCCACCAATCTAGATTTTCCAACTTGAATAAACAAAATGCAGTTTTTCATAGGTTGGCAACATTCCGGATGCAACGATAAAGTCTGTTCGTCGATCCGGGATCGTTTGATCAGTCTAGTGCTTTACTTTCGGGTGTTGGTCGTCCCTTTTGACCGATCTCGTCCGATTCAATTGCGTGGGGCCTCGACCCAGCAGAATTCAGTGTCCTGATTGCAACGACGCTGTCCGTTCGTCATTCTGAGGTCGTTTGACCCTTCAAGTGATGCATGACACCAAGGTGCGTAATGCTTTATTCACCAATTGGGGTCCTTTCTCACGTTGTTTAAGGTATAGGGGTCAACAATCGTGCACTAGTTTTCTTCTGCATGTAGATTATTGTGCACTAAAGAATCACCTGTTATTGCTTGTATCACAAGCTTCTATGTTGGCTTATAGATAGCTTGTATTTGCTACCAATCCTTTACATTTACTTCATCGCTAGATGTTGTGCACGAGACAAATCTCCTCCAACAACTCGTACATTTGCTACCACTCCTTTGCATTTCCATCATCCATATTTTAGTTCTAAAGAAAACATAATAGCATGACAACTCGGAAGTTATCTGCGTTGTCATCACTAAGGGAGCCTTCATTAGAGTCGTCGTTGTAACGAATTGTTGTCTCCCTTGACTCATCATTTGTGGATTCTAATGTATTATGCCTCAAGATCAAATTTGAAAGAATTCTCTATTTTACATTTCTAAATTACCCAACCAGAGCTTCTATGAATTCATCTTAATCCAACCGAAGCATCTAAAATCATATACATTAAAATATCTCATTATATTCATTCACCCAAAATCACATATAAAATAGTCAAAAGATCAATACAATTAATAATCGATCACTAGCTCCCGACTATAAAAAAAAATAGAACAAAATCAAAATCAAACCTAAGGATTTTTGTCAACCTCACTCCACTTGGTCCTGACCCTTTTCATGACATGAATTTAATAAAATTCACATAATGAGCTAAAAAACCCAGCAAAAATCCAAATTCACTAAAGGTTCCAACGCAAGACTTAAAAAATTAATATGTATGCTCAATTTAATCAATATAATCACTAGTATTCAATTTCATCAATGATCAGATATCATTAGTAAAACTCAAAATGATCAATAACAAAAGCAATAAATTATTACAATAAAATATATGAATCAATAGTAAGTGCGAGGATATAAATATGTCGATAATTATTAACTCAATTTAGTAGAAAATAATGTATCGGTACTGAAATCATTCATGTGTCACTAAAATAGGAGTCAATATCATCAGTCTTGTCATCTATCTATTATGTATCCATTCATATGTTATTTATGCACTTATTATATTATTCAGCAAGGCAGAACATTATACTTTAATGTGATGTTTTCATCCTTTCATATGTATTTATTATATTATTATATTATCATCATTATCATTATCATTTTCATTACATGTAGCTTTCAATAATTATTTAAGAGTCTTCACTCTTTGCCCTTCGGTCCACCCTCCTGCGGAGGAATGGTTGGGGTTAGTGCTTAGGGTTTTTAGGATTTATTATATATATAAAAAAACACTATTAATGGTCTAGCTTCGCAGCGCTCCAACCCAGCACCGTTGCACTACATGTTGAATCAAGAATTACTATAGAAAAGAGCGTCAAGCGTCGCAGCAATAGTTTTCAGCACAACCATGCTCTCAACATGGCACCACGGTGCTCCCAAACACATTGTGCAATGCTCCAGTTCAAATAGAAAATCAAAATTTATAAATATTTTTCATATTTTTTGGGTTATTACACAATGTGTCCCGATCTGCTTCTTCATCTATTTCAATTATATTTTTCTTTTCTCAATATTTTTTATTAGCATAAACATGAGAGTAATACTTCAAAATAAATAAGCTTTAATAAAATTAATTCTTTTTACATACCCTTTTTTTAGTATTTTCTGTGTTTAGGTTATGGGGGATGGAGATGATTTGTTTCTATCACCATCAAAAAAATCAACGTTTAAATCTTCTTATAATTCATGAGGTATTATCTCCAGTTAATCATCTACAAAACACTCATCATTTGATGACATCTCCTCACAAATCAAAAGATCTTCGTCATCTTTCAACTCTTTTTTCTTCAAATTCATATCTTTGAAGTCTCTTGTGTACATGATTTTTTTTTTCTCTTGTGTACATGATGTATATCAAAAAATTCATCTTTAGGGTTGTTAGATGATTTCTCATCTTCGTGTGCACTTGATTATAAAAACCCTAGTTGTATTTACATATGGAGGAAGAGTATATTAATCTCAAAACTACTTCTATGTCAGGTACTTAACATTACTAACTTATTTATGTATGTTTTGATCTCCTCCCTTAGGCACTTTAACATAATGTGTGATGCAGACAAGTGCTCCTTCATCCTAGTGACACCATCATTCATCACTTTCTCATTAAAATTACATTTTAAATACGCATGTGACTTGTCTTCGCCTCCCATATTAACTTCACTACTATGTTTCCATGTCGGGTCCTTCCCATTATAACTCAACACAATTTTAACCTTGCTACTGACCATTCTCGACAAAACGGTCAAAACCTTACAATAACAAGTTGAGAACAAAAATATTGAAACTCATAAAAATTAAATACATGATTTGAAGTTTGACATTTAAAAAACAAATTAGATTTTGTTGTGTGAATTAGATTTAGGAAATTCATGCATGCACACATATAATGAATTTGATTCCATTACAAGATATATGCATGTTTCATTTTAATTTTCATTTGGAGAATAAGTATTAGTTTATGTACATTTGCAATCATTCGAATCAAGGATTGAGATGTGTGCACAAGCAAAATCCTAAATGTTCAAAGATCTTTCAATGCAATGCATGAGCACATAACTTTAATATAACTTGGAACTCAGCTATTACAGAGTATACTTATTTGCTATTTATTTGGTTACCTACTTGCTACGTCAAATCATAACATTCATTTTTTGATTCGAGCCAAACTCTATAATAACGCCAAAAAACTCAAAGTTGAATCTCACAGTAAGCCAAAAAAGTGCACGAAAGGGGTGAAAGATTGTTACCTTCGTAGTAAGCGGGTTCCCGTCATTACTCCTTTAAAACCCAACATTGTCTAACTATTGTGACTTCCAATTCACCAGAAAGGGAACGCCATCGAAGAAGGCAAAGAAGCTAGTGGCTCATTCAAAACTATATCTCACGTGAAACAGGCGAAATCATACAAAAATGAAGAAATGGAGAAGAAGAGTCAAAGTATGAAAAGAAGCTTGCGGCTCGTTCAAAACTCTACCTCACGTGTAGCAACCGAAGTCGAACAACAACAAAGAAATATCGAAGAGTTGAGGGAGGTGAAGAAGTTAGCAACTCGTTCAAAACTCTACCTCACGTGAAATAGTCAAAGTCGAACAAAAATGAACTTTAGGTTTAGGTTTTAAAAATAAATAAATAAATAAATAGTAATTGAGGCATACACCTTATTTTAGTGAGGCGAGGTATGCATCAGACAAAATGAGGCACACGCCTCACATTAAATGCTTGAGGCATGAGCCTCGAGATGTTTTCTCGCCTAAATTGCGTTGAGGAGCACCTCTTATTGTGCAATTTTAAATAGTGCAATAACTTAAAAACTCTTGAGTAATTAATTGTAGGGTACACTTTATCTAATAGAAGATTTCATAAACTCTTCTATTAGCTAAAGTCAACTTAAAATTATCCCCTTAGATAAACATTCACCACAAATCTATGAGATACCCATGGACGAAGCAACCACAGTTGTAAACAAAGATCCTTCGATCAGGTTGGGTTGACTACCTACTCTGACTAAATAAACTAAGTACCACAGCAACCCGTGATGATAAAACCATGAAAACTTGATCTTTATCATCATGCCCCCTACCATCCACTCTAATCATAAAGATGATGTGGGATAAAGACTTGATGTTGTTGTTGTATCAAATTTGCACCTATTATATGCTCGGTATGTAGTAACTATATAACAATTAGCCTTAATCGAAAATGCTCTTTTATTATTGGGAGAAATTATTAACCACATAAGCTTAAACCTATAGGTAGCCTAGAACCAAATCTTAAAGTCATCGCAAAATAAGGGTGAAATCTCTAGTAAAATTTTATTTTAAATCTAATCTATCTTACTAAATTTTGGATCAGCACATTCCAAAATTTGGATAAGCACATTCCTTTAAAACAATCCTAAACAAAGAGACTAGGGCATGAATTTTCAGAGCCCACAAACATGCAAGAATCACTAATATAAGTTGCAATCCTTTCACCCATATAGTTCGTATTTGACCAATTGCAAGTAGCTGACAATATGGAATAGTGTATCATTAAGAGATATACACTAACCACATTGATATCAAATTTTAATTTTTATCCTTTATGATACTACATGTTTGCATCAAAACATAAGGAAAAAAAAAAGGATTAGTGACATTAAGAGTAATTTCTTAACCCTAACATTCATTCAAACAGTTAATTCTCATTACCACTTGATATTCATTAGAAATAATTTTCTTACCACCCCATGGCGAAACTCTCCAGCAATGTCAAGTTGCTTCCATAATGCAAGGACTGTCATTGTTAGAGTGAAAATTAGAAAAGCATATGCGGGATTCCTGTTAACCAGAAAATGATCGTCAAATAAGTATAGATTGATAATCAGGGGAATAAAGTATTTAAGCTTGCTCTAACAGACTAATAGCGTTATAATTAACCTTAAAAGCATCATAAATTCGTCGAAGCCTAGGATTATAATTGCAGCAATTGCCCAGAGGGGAGGTAGCCAGTTGTTGGAGCGCCTGTGCGATTCCTTAAAAAGGCAAACAGCTTATTTAAATTTTAAAGTAAAAGTTCACAGTAACAAATATATATGCTAAGAAACTTTAAAAAAAAAAAAGACTTGAAACCATTCAATATATATTAGTTTCCACTAGAAAAGTAAATTATTAAAGATTCCCAGTAATGCACAGAAGTCCTCCATTTTAAAAATAAAATATAGACCAACGAAGAAACCTCTCACAAACAACCTAAAGTTTTGTCATGGATCACCGAAGTGTATTTAAGGAAAAAATAGTAGTTTGCCTAGATTTGAACAATAGAATGAAGATAAACACAAAATACCATAGTTTGTGATCCCGTTTGAGTTATTCACTAGCAATTAAACCCTAAAGCTTGCACTATCTAGTTATTCACGTAAAAATGCAATCACATATCATGCATCGAATTAGGAGCACACCAATAAAAGAATCGAGTGTCATGGGTTAGGAGTACCGTGCAAAATAATTGTTTATTTGCTTTTATCACTTCACTTTCTAAAAGAATTTATATTAAATTTGATAAGATTCCAAAAAAATCAAATGATCAGCAAAAATCTCAAGACAATATTTGAATTATAGAGATTTCCGATATTAAATTCAAGATCATCCTAACTCCAATTTTAGCAAAATTATAATTGAACTGAACGTCTTGACGAGACGAACCTACTGATGCTACAAATTATCTGATTAACTCCAAATGAGTTCAGGTCAAATATTTGAATTATATTTGGAAACTTCTGAATATAAATTGATGGAACAAATAAATTCCAATTATAGCATGCTTATAGTCAAGTTGAGCAAATCAACAAAACGAATATAATGAGCCCAAGATCACTCGATTTTGGCATCATTAAGGTATTCAAATGTTTGAAGGACAATCTAAGATCAACAAGATCAATATGGATCGTACTTTAGAGTCCTTTGGATATGGATCGTACGTTAGTGTTTTGGATTCTGGCCAAATTTACCAAATGTTCATAGCAAAAGGGCTATAAATATAGTCTTATTCTCTTTAGAAAAGGTTATTGAAGAACTTATTAAACTAAAGAATTTTTTTTACATTTTCCAGCTATCATCATAAAAAATCATCACCAACAACCGTTGTCAATATCTTTAGACTCTTGTCAAGATCCAAGCTTGTCGTTGGGTATTTAATTGTCCGCCTATGAATATTTGAATTCTATGAACCTTACAATGGGAATTAGTCAATTGTTCCCAATACAATCCATGCTTCTTCAACTGTGAGGAAGGAACTATTTTTTTTTATCTCCTATTCTATTGTGGATTATTGCAACTAGGTCAAATCCCATGATTTTTCCTCTTTCCGGATTTTTCACATAAAAAATTTTTAGCCTCTTATAACTTTTTATATGTGTTAGATTTTAGTACAACGCTATGTTACTCTCACTCTAACATCAAAAATTTTCTAGAATGTAACATAAGTACAAAAGTTAAAACATATTCAGTTTTCTTTTCAAGCCATGTTTTGCCACCTATTATTTTATTAATTGATAAAATTAAAAATTAAAAAAAATATTATTCAGAAACGAAGCTTTCTCCTTCTCTCTCTCTCTATTTATAACTGTTGTACTGTATAGTAGTAGATAAGAATACAGTACTCTAATCCAAAATCCTTTTTTTTTTAACTGTCTCATACAATTTCCCCCAAATATCATTGGGTATGCTAAGCACATGATTTCCTCACATACAGGGATTTGCAAACCCTTTGATGGCTAATCAAGAAACATGAGAAATGGGAAATTGATTATCTTCGGATTTGAGCCAGGTAAATTCTTTCTTGAGATGGGTGCAGAACTTCAATTTGCATGACGACCATATATGGTGATGACTAGTAGGGTTTGAAGCACACATTGATGACTTCAAGCAGTGCATAAAAAAAGTTGCATGTGTGAGGTAATCTTGATTGTGAGATTATTCTAGGGAATTTTTTTTTTCTTTGAGTGTGGATATAAACTTGAGAAGCTTGGTGGTTAGTTTTATTTTGTATACTATGATTATGATTTATTTGCTTCTAGTAGATCTGATTAATAGGACACAATGGAGAAAAATGATTCATGTAGCCCACCCCACGTAGTGGGATAAAGGCTTGATGTTGTTGTTGTTGTTGTTGTAGATCTGATTATCTCTCCTCTCTAGCGGCAGTTGCTTGGTTGTATAAAATTTAACGACTTTCTATGTTTGCGGTTTCTATTTCCCTTTGTGTTTTCTTCAAGTGGATCGTCTTTTATCTTATAGATGTTTCCACTTCAAGTTATTTGTTGCCCTCGTTACAATAAATTTAATTAAGAGATCATAACAGGAAAAATGTTTCAAATAAAACACATCATGACAGTGTAAAAGATGCGCAGATTCAAAAAGCCAACCATAGATTTTGGTCAAGAATAATTATTAAAAATAAAGCATTACTCTTATCCAACAGCTACGATGAAAAAAGGAAGCATACCTGAGCTGAAACAGCCTGAATTACAGCATACTCAATCTCTGAATTGAACTGCTTCCAGATTAACTTACATTGTGCTGGTGATATCAAAGTGTTCTTCGAAGTAATCTGGAGGACGTAAGAAGTTTCCATTACAGTTGTTTCATCAATCTTTTATTTTTCTTCTTCTTCTGCAATAAACAAAGATGCAGTAACTAGATAATACCTCTGGCCAGGTTGCTGAAGCAAGGGGATCTGCAGAAGGTTTGATGCTCTTTTCTATGGAAGCCTGACTATCTAGAAGACTTGAATTGAGAATTTTTTCAATGTTATCTGTCTTATCATCCAAACGTATAGCAGCCATTACTGATAAAAGGTTCAAGGCCTGCATCATGATAAGTATATTTTAGCTAAGCAACACAAGAAATTTCCAAGGAAATAGTCAACTAATTCGTATACTTTAAAATAGTAAAATTCAAGGAAAAAGAAGCTGTTGAAAAAAGACATACAGCTGCACGAGCATCTTTTGTGATTATCCTCACATCTTCTTTTCCAGTCCAAACCCTTGGCATTGAATCTTTATCATACTTAAAAATGGTTGAGAATCTAGGAAGGAAAGAAACACTAAGAAAAATGAACGAAACCAGAAAAACTGAAAGTTGTAAAGGATTTCATTGACCACCTACCTATCCTTCATACGAATTAAAACCTTCCCCGCTTCTTCTCTGGCCTTCTTTTCTACAAAGTTCCTAGAAAAGTCCTTCAAGTCTCCCATAATCTTATTGAAGGTTTCCTGGTCCAATTCGAATTCAGAGAGAGAAGCTGACAAATCTAACAGAGCCTTTTTTGTCTCACTCTTATATAGCCTTCTTATAGATGCCCAAGTATCTCCCTCTGCTGCATCAAAAAGTGACTCCATGGGTTCCGTAAGAGCTTCAGCCAATCGATTCTGTTTCGAAAAAACAACAATCTCAATTACCACAAGCTTTTATTATTCCTTCATATAGGGAACAGCTTTAATTAAAATGTGTACCTCAAAATCTGCTACAAGTTCTGATAGTTTTGCATCACGAACAGATGAAATATGTGCCTCTATGTCACGACTTAATTTCTCCCTAACTTTGTGAGAATCCCAGTCTGCCTGCTTAATGGAAACATCTAATAGAAAACATATATATTAGATATTATAAGACCAATTTGTTAAAAGAACAAGATGTGATAGTGAAATGCTCCCCCATTCGCCTGAAGGTAAAAAAGATGCTGGACAGGATAGGGTCCAATGATTTTTTTCTTTTTATGAGTTTTTCATGTAAAAAATACTGCATTCTATATTTCCTTCATATTTTTAGTGTGTGTGAATCATTGAGTGCAGCTAAGACATAAAACTCCACACTTTTTTGATGTAAGAAAAATCTAAAGAATGTTAAAAAATAGTAATATTTTAAGCTTCAGAGTTTTTGTGATTGTTTTCAGCACAAAATTCTCACAATATGTTATTAATTACATTGATACTGTAGAATAAGGCATGCCGTCTATTTCTACTTAAATTTATAGATTGGTTGCATTGATCAGTAACGAGTTTTTAAGTAAACAGTAAAAAAAAATCTCTTTTTCTCTATGTTCTATTTTCAAAATAGTAACAAATTAAAATTTCCGAAGTAATATATATACATGAATTGCAGGTCATGTTTTAAAATGAGCTTTCATACGTTTGCAACCTTTTTGGAGTAAACATGGAATTAATTTCTTGTTTTAGCTAATTAGATATATTTTAGAAGGCCTATAGGCATCTAAATTTTTGTGAAAAAAAAAAAAATGTAAGAAATGGATCGTTGATTTACTGCTTATGTAATTGGCTTCAACCTACTGCTCCCCTTAAAGAAACACTACATTATCAGTAGAAGAAAATGAAGATCTTATTTAATAATCCTGGGATCAAACTTTGAGTTGTCACTAATTATAAGTTACCAATACAGATCATGGTAGCACATATTTCAAAGTAAAACCCACGGCTAACCATCCTTCATGATTTCGTGGCACACCACTTCAACATTATATTTCTCGGTTGTGAGTAAACAAATCAAAACAAACAAACAAACAAAAAAAGAGCAAGAAAAAGCACCATAATTTGTGTAAAATCGAAAAACGGGAAAAACCATAGAACTGCACCACATCAAGAAATCAAATATGAAACTGAGAGAAATTGTATGGATTTTACTCTCTAGCACTCTTTCGCATCTTTTCACACTATTTCATATGATAGAGCATAACCGTCATTCAATTACTACTCGCACAATGCGAAAAGAAAAGGAAACTAACTCAACCAGCCCACAACGCCATGGTGCTGGACCCAGAGCACATCAGCACTGGGTTCTCTATATCACAATAGGTCCACAACGTCACAACGTTGTGTCTACACAATGTCTTGACGTTGAATTCTTTGTCTCAAATTGTGTCTACTGCAACACCTCAGCAAGCACCTCATCGAGCTTGATCGAAGGAATTGAGATATGAGCTAACAGTACAACCCGATTGATTAACACAATTAAATTTCACAAAAACTAAGAATCTCTCACTTGAAAATTGAATATGATCAATCATTCTACCAATCTGTAGTAACAATCATATAAAAAAATTTGTAGTTTGACTCACCCCTGCTAATGTGAAACCACATCGGAATTGCACGTAGAAATTTATAATGATTGAATTAGGCGTCACAACTTAAACTTAATGTTTCACTTTGAAAGGAATTAAAGAATTTAAAATTGTTTAAATTGATATGTAAAGTAACCGCACAATAAAAGACAAGATCTCAAAATAATATCAAGACTATAATGAAAACAAGTAGTGCAATAAACAAACAATCCACCACGTAACAAAGAGAGAATTCACCTCGAGTTTCCCGCATTTGCACTCTTTAAGGGTTAGCGGAAGAAGAATCGCCACAATCCGGAAGATGCCACCATGAAGGAGAGGAAGCCGGGGTAGAGATCCAACGAAAGTTAGCCGGAGGGGCTATGTGTAGACGACCAGTGATCCACCAACGTTCAGAGGGAAGATGCTCGAGCTCTTTTATGGCAAGAGAGCTCATGGGATGAGAGGAATTCCAAGAAAGTGGGCAAACAATAGGGTCGGCCAAGTGTGGAGGGAATTAGGGTTTGTGGGGTCTAGGTTTGGGGTTATGGAAAGAGCATTAAATCTGAAATTAATTTCAGTTTTAATTAAACGAGGGAAAAGAATTTGAAATTCAAATTCAAATTCAAATATGGGTTGGGGAATTAATTAGATCCTTAATTTATGAGACCTAATTAATTAGAGAGAGGAGGGGGAAGAGGTCGGCCAAGGAGAGAGGAGAGAGAGAAGGGTTAGGCATGAAGGAGGTGGGCCCAGGCAATTAAGGGGATTAAATACTTAAATCTGAAATTAATTTCAGATTTAAGTTAATTGGGAGGTTTTCCTAAATTGAAGGAGGAGAATTAAAGAAGAGTTTTGAAATTCAAATATTTTGAATTTGAATTTAATTCTCATCCTAAATTAGTGGGGCTAAATTAAGAAAGCATTTATGGTGGATTTGAATTCAAAAGTTTGGAGGGAATTATGTGGCCGGCAGCTATTGTGGGGGAGAAGGATGTGGCCGACATCTTTAGGTGGTGGAGCAAGGGGCCGGTGGGTGGAGGATTCAAGTTGGCGGCCAAGGGCTTGGGCTAGGTAACTTAGATCCACGAATTGAGCATTTTCCTAATATGAATTATGTTAATTTAGGAAAGAATTCAAAATATGAATTTGAAATCAGATTTTGAGTTGGATCTCCCTCCTAATCTTCATGCTCCATTTTTTGGAAAGAGGCAAGACAATTAATTTTGGATCCCTGGGAGGGGAAGGCGGGCGGTTAGGGTTTGGGGTTTGGGTGGCATTTGGCTAAGGAGGAAGGAGTGTAAGTTAAGTGGAAGGGATCTTGTCTAGCTTGACAGGCGGCTTGGGGTCTTGAAGTGGCCAGCGTTTGTTTGGGGAAGAAGAGGTGGCCGGATGTAGGATAAAGGAAGAGACAATAAGAAAATACTACGAGTACTAACCACGAGTCCCGGAATCCATCGGCAGCTGACGGGTGATGCATGACCCTCTCCTAGGATTCCTCCTCTCAAGAACTCACAAAGAGATCAAACAAGAAAAGCTGGAATTTTTCATTCATAATCATCATCCTTCAAATACAAGACCAATGACCTAATATATAGGCCTCATAGAGAAAGAAAAGAAATGACTAAAATGCCTATAGGGCTACAACTCAACTCAACACACAAGCAATGGTACAGACGTAAATAAAGAAAATCTAAACTAATATATAAAATATTAAATGTCTAAGCATATCATCGTAGTCGTTGATCTACGATACTTCCTGTGGTAGACACAAGAATCTCCTACTTGTCAAGACCCGACCCGAATAGCCCGAACTAATGGGGCGGGAGCAGACAGTCGTACGGGAAAACATCATAACATAAACATAATCATTTCATATAAAATTTTATGATATAACTTAATATCATCAACACATAAAATAAGAAAGAGCCACAAAGAAAACATCAATATCATAATTGTCCAAATTTGTTTCTTCTCACACAACTACTAAGTACTAAAAACTTAAATCATCAACAATTACATAAACTCCCACAAACTACACAGATACAGATCTAATACTCAACAGAAAATACAAAACATAAAAACATTTCTTCTTCTCGAGGTCCTCTACGATGGTAGGTATACTACCGTCTTATAGCCATCACTTCTTAATAATTTCTCCTGAAAAATATTTTCAAACGTAGGATGAGCCAACGCTTAGCAGGTAAAAAACATTTATCTCAAATTCATGAAATATTTTTCTTATATTTCTTAAATATGTCATTAAGCATGAAATAGTAAAAGATCATAATAAACATTTATGCATGAATTTATAAAACAGTTTCCAATAATCATTCTTAAGATATTTTCCATAAATTTTCCTTTTTCTTAAATCATTTCATTAAATGCATAACTTTTAAAGTCATAATATGATAAACACTCGTCCCAGAAGTACCAATGTTTGTACTGATCAGGTACACAGTATTTTGGCAATTTCCTTTACCATTTGGTTTCGAAGAACCCCATTAACATTTGGCTTTTGTAAGCCCCTTTACCATTTGGCTCCGTAGAACCCCATTACCATTTGTTTGGCACTCCCGGATCAACATGCACATACACTTTATAATATTTATATTCATCAAAGAATTAAAAACTATTCGATGCATCAGATGATCTTTATTGTTTTTCGGGTAAAGAAACTTTGTATCTCTTAAGCATGAAATTGTTTACTTGCTTTAACATTCTAAGTAACGTGTCATATGTATAAACAAAAATTATAAAGCTAAAGCAATAATAGAAAATTCATGAACATTAATTTGTAACATTTTAAAACTGCAGAAATATTTAATTAAATCTCATAAACTCCATTTAAATATAATTCACCTACCTTTCAAGTATCGAACAACCTCCACAACATTGCACGACGTTGATTAACCATTTGTCTCCACCTTAATCCACACTAAAGATAGTTACAATTGAAATAGCACAAATCATAATTATTTTCAATAATTAACATAATAATTTTTTTATTTTCGGAATTACATAAAATCAAAAATTTTGTAAATCATAAATCTTAAATTTTGCTCAAATTATTATATCGAAATTATCCCTAAATATTATTTAATAAATATCTTATAAATTTTCAGATTAAATAATTAGAGAAATTATAAAAAAAATAAAATTTTCATTAAAAATTCAAATTTATGTTTTAAAAACATTCCTAATGCCCTTAAGAATAACTTTTGTAAAAGCACTTTATAGAAATTCGATTTTGGGAAAAACCCCTACAATTTCATCCTCCAAAAATTTCTCCAAAAACTTTGTTTTCATCATTAAATCATTCCTCTAATCTTTCCTTAAAGGTTTTGCAAAGAGATGTCGAAAGAAAAACAAAATTCTATAAAACCCTATAAATTTCTTTTTCAAATATCTTGAGATTTAGAAGATTAAATAAAATTCTAAGACATACCTTCTTCTTCCCTTGATCTCCTCTTCGATTTCCCCTAAATTTTTCGTAGAAAAAACGTCGCCGGAGCCACCCCCGC